GTGCTTTCCCCTCGGCTGTCCTTTCCCCCTCAGCTGTACTTTCCTCCCCGGCTGTACTTTCCCCCTCGGTTGTATTTCCTCCTCGGCTGAACTTTCCCCCTCGGCTGTCCTTTCCTCCTCGGCTGTGCTTTCCCCTCGGCTGTCCTTTCCCCCTCAGCTGTACTTTCCTCCCCGGCTGTACTTTCCCCCTCGGTTGTATTTCCTCCTCGGCTGAACTTTCCCCCTCGGCTGTACTTTCCTCCTCGGCTGTGCTTTCCCCTCGGCTGTCCTTTCCCCCTCAGCTGTACTTTCCTCCCCGGCTGTACTTTCCCCCTCGGTTGTATTTCCTCCTCGGCTGAACTTTCCCCCTCGGCTGTACTTTCCTCCTCGGCTGTGCTTTCCCCTCGGCTGTCCTTTCCCCCTCAGCTGTACTTTCCTCCCCGGCTGTACTTTCCCCCTCGGTTGTATTTCCTCCTCGGCTGAACTTTCCCCCTCGGCTGTACTTTCCTCCTCGGCTGTGCTTTCCCCTCGGCTGTCCTTTCCCCCTCAGCTGTACTTTCCTCCCCGGCTGTACTTTCCCCCTCGGTTGTATTTCCTCCTCGGCTGAACTTTCCCCCTCGGCTGTACTTTCCTCCTCGGCTGTGCTTTCCCCTCGGCTGTCCTTTCCCCCTCAGCTGTACTTTCCTCCCCGGCTGTACTTTCCCCCTCGGTTGTATTTCCTCCTCGGCTGAACTTTCCCCCTCGGCTGTACTTTCCTCCTCGGCTGTGCTTTCCCCTCGGCTGTCCTTTCCCCCTCAGCTGTACTTTCCTCCCCGGCTGTACTTTCCCCCTCGGTTGTATTTCCTCCTCGGCTGAACTTTCCCCCTCGGCTGTACTTTCCTCCTCGGCTGTGCTTTCCCCTCGGCTGTCCTTTCCCCCTCAGCTGTACTTTCCTCCCCGGCTGTACTTTCCCCCTCGGTTGTATTTCCTCCTCGGCTGAACTTTCCCCCTCGGCTGTACTTTCCTCCTCGGCTGTGCTTTCCCCTCGGCTGTCCTTTCCCCCTCAGCTGTACTTTCCTCCCCGGCTGTACTTTCCCCCTCGGTTGTATTTCCTCCTCGGCTGAACTTTCCCCCTCGGCTGTACTTTCCTCCTCGGCTGTGCTTTCCCCTCGGCTGTCCTTTCCCCCTCAGCTGTACTTTCCTCCCCGGCTGTACTTTCCCCCTCGGTTGTATTTCCTCCTCGGCTGAACTTTCCCCCTCGGCTGTACTTTCCTCCTCGGCTGTGCTTTCCCCTCGGCTGTCCTTTCCCCCTCAGCTGTACTTTCCTCCCCGGCTGTACTTTCCCCCTCGGTTGTATTTCCTCCTCGGCTGAACTTTCCCCCTCGGCTGTACTTTCCTCCTCGGCTGTGCTTTCCCCTCGGCTGTCCTTTCCCCCTCAGCTGTACTTTCCTCCCCGGCTGTACTTTCCCCCTCGGTTGTATTTCCTCCTCGGCTGAACTTTCCCCCTCGGCTGTACTTTCCTCCTCGGCTGTGCTTTCCCCTCGGCTGTCCTTTCCCCCTCAGCTGTACTTTCCTCCCCGGCTGTACTTTCCCCCTCGGTTGTATTTCCTCCTCGGCTGAACTTTCCCCCTCGGCTGTACTTTCCTCCTCGGCTGTGCTTTCCCCTCGGCTGTCCTTTCCCCCTCAGCTGTACTTTCCTCCCCGGCTGTACTTTCCCCCTCGGTTGTATTTCCTCCTCGGCTGAACTTTCCCCCTCGGCTGTACTTTCCTCCTCGGCTGTGCTTTCCCCTCGGCTGTCCTTTCCCCCTCAGCTGTACTTTCCTCCCCGGCTGTACTTTCCCCCTCGGTTGTATTTCCTCCTCGGCTGAACTTTCCCCCTCGGCTGTACTTTCCTCCTCGGCTGTGCTTTCCCCTCGGCTGTCCTTTCCCCCTCAGCTGTACTTTCCTCCCCGGCTGTACTTTCCCCCTCGGTTGTATTTCCTCCTCGGCTGAACTTTCCCCCTCGGCTGTACTTTCCTCCTCGGCTGTGCTTTCCCCTCGGCTGTCCTTTCCCCCTCAGCTGTACTTTCCTCCCCGGCTGTACTTTCCCCCTCGGTTGTATTTCCTCCTCGGCTGAACTTTCCACTCTCCTCTCCCCTCGGCTGTCTTTTCCCCCTCGGCTGTCCTTTCCTCCCCAGCTGTCCTTTCCTCCTCGGTTGTACTTTCCCCCTCGGCTGTACTTTCCTCCTCGGCTGTACTTTCCTCCTCGGCTGTACTTTCCTCCTCGGCTGTACTTTCCTCCTCGGCTGTACTTTCCTCCTCGGCTGTACTTTCCTCCTCGGCTGTACTTTCCTCCTCGGCTGTACTTTCCTCCTCGGCTGTACTTTCCTCCTCGGCTGTACTTTCCTCCTCGGCTGTACTTTCCTCCTCGGCTGTACTTTCCTCCTCGGCTGTACTTTCCTCCTCGGCTGTACTTTCCTCCTCGGCTGTACTTTCCTCCTCGGCTGTACTTTCCTCCTCGGCTGTACTTTCCTCCTCGGCTGTACTTTCCTCCTCGGCTGTACTTTCCTCCTCGGCTGTACTTTCCTCCTCGGCTGTACTTTCCTCCTCGGCTGTACTTTCCTCCTCGGCTGTACTTTCCTCCTCGGCTGTACTTTCCTCCTCGGCTGTACTTTCCTCCTCGGCTGTACTTTCCTCCTCGGCTGTACTTTCCTCCTCGGCTGTACTTTCCTCCTCGGCTGTACTTTCCTCCTCGGCTGTACTTTCCTCCTCTTCTGTCCTCTCCTCGTTGGCTCTCCTCTCCTTGTCGGCTCAACTCTCCCCCTCGGCTGTCCTTTCCCCTTCGGCTGGAATTTTCCCGTCGGCTGTACTCTCTTCATCGGCTGTCCTTTCCTCCTCTGCTGTCCTTTCCTCCTCAGCTGTGCTTTCCCCCTCGGCTGTGCTTTCCCCCTCGGCTGTCCTTTCCTCCTCGGCTGTCCTTTCCCCCTCGGCTGTACTCTCCCCCTCGGCTGTCCTTTCCCCCTCGGCTGTCCTTTCCCCCTTGGCTGTCCTCTCCCC